ATAACACAACCAAACACTGGAAAGTATTTTTCAGTTTATTTTTCATAATACTACTAAATATTAAAAAATATTTTACTTTTCAGGAATTTATTTTGTTTAGAATTTACTTTTTTCAAAAATCATTTTTAGTTCAGAATTTACTTTTTTCAAAAATCATTTTTAACTTTTCTATAAACAAACGGCGCTAAAGGTTGAGGTATCGTACGAAGATGAACTGTGGATAGTATACGCATGACATGTTCATTAACTATTTACCTGGGAACAGAAACACTGTTCGACAGCAAATTTTTCGTAGTTTTGGGGTTTTCCTAAGTAGTGCGGTTTGTGCTTGCATTTCAATCTCCAGATTTCTATAACATTCAGCTTTAGTTAAGAAAAACTTCATTCGATGTTTTGGTCCAGTCCCTGGTAGTACAGAGAGAACGGTCGCAATTGATCTGAGATTTTACGTCTTTGGGTCATCGAAAGGAGTTGGTTGATGATGGTGGCTAAAAACCCTAAAATAATTTTGAATTAAAAAGGCATAAAGATTGAAAATGGGTTCGTGAAAATTGTTAGGATGAACTTGGATGTTTTAAAGTAAAAAAGCCATGCAAATTCTTCGTTTACTTGCCAAAACTTTAAATTAAAATTTTAAAAAAGAAAACTCAATTAGAATTAACATATATATATATATATATATATAAAAGAGATTGCTTGGATACTAATATTTGACAAACAACCATGACAAATGATTATTCCATTTGAATGTGTAACTTTTTCATTATTTAGTGTGTGTAATGGGTTATGATGGTCCTTGTATTCAGATTTTTTAAAAATATATTTTATTTGAAAAAATATCAATTTAATATTTTTTAATGATTTTAATATTAAAAATAAAAATAATTAATATATTTTTTAATTAAAAAATACTTTGCATAACGAATTCAGGTTTATTTATTCAGGTTTGATTGCTATGCCAACCATTCAATGCCTTTATTATTAAAAAACCAAAAAAAAAAAAGATTGTGGGATATTAAAGATAATATTAAAAAAGACAGTATATTAATAGAGAAAGAAAATGAAAAACAAAATAAAAATTGGATGTTAACTGAACCACGGTTAAGTTGAACGCGCAACTAGCCTACTATGGTCAAACGGAAGGAATGGTCAATTGGTCACTGCCTCCAAAAGAACAGGGGTTAAAAAAAAAACAAATATATTATTATTCTGTTGCAAATAAATAAATAATTGAATTAATTTGATCGATCGATCAATGAAAATCTGATGATCTGCAGGTGCTTAGGGTTAGGTTTATTGTATAATGAAACAATTAAGAAATGGAGATGGAGTATGTGAGTGAATTCCCTCACAATTACATGGATCGTCGTCCCAGAAAGAGGCCCAAATTAGCAGCAGCAGCTTGGGATATTCCTCCTCAACTTCAACCTCACACTCACACCAAGGTATGGTATTCAATTGTTGTTGTTGTTGTTGTTGTTATTTTGGATAATTACGTGAGAATTGGTCGTGTATAAAAAAAACTCTTTTGTGGTAGTGTTTTGATGGTAAAATGCATGGAGTTTGGCAGAGGAAAAGAAATATCTGATCTGTTTTTTAATAAATAGAAAAACTTAGATTCGGATACTATTTTTTTGTTGTGATTTTTTCTTTAAATGAAATTGCAATTCACACATCAGCCTATAACTGAAATTGTATTATTAATTTTGAATTTCATAACAAATGGAGCCCTTAGGTCTAAAGATCAATTGTTAAAGTAGTCTTTTTTGGGGTAGATTTTGAAAATTTTAAATGGTTCTTCCCATGTTTTAATGAGTAATTTGTTAAATATGTTTGAGATGTATGCTTATATAATTTCATCGTTTTGGATTAGGACTATTCAATAATTTAAATTAATTTCAGTATCATGTTATGTTGCTGTTTAAAACATTTGGAGTTGTTCTTTGGTCTGGTAGAATGCAAATACAAGGGAACATTTTGCGATTACTATTTGTTTAGTGGAGAATGAACAAATGCCTGTGTGTAGGCTCAGTCAGGATTGTATTATGGGCAAGTGGTTGGAAATGGGACAAGCATTGGATCATCAAGGATGCTCCCCGACCATGCCAGTCTTTTTGTGAAGGGATTAGCACAGAAAGGCTCTCCCCCGTGGCGAGACGATGACAAAGACGGACATTATGTATTTGCTCTTGGAGAGCATTTAACATCCCGCTGTAATTACACTTAATCACCATTGCAGAGGCTTTTGCATTATTATTATGTGACTTGCTATGTTGCATGCTGAGTTTCATGCACCTCATCGCCTGTTGTCACATAATAATAGTTTGTTCCTTTGCATTAGTTACTTTTTCAATTCTTTTTTTTTTTTTTCTAATAGGGTGCTGAGTTTTAAATCACAAAGGATTTTAAAGAGTATTGCTGTGGCCTTTGTTGTTTTCTTTTTCACGATTTTTTATTTATACTTTTGAGTTAAAAGTTTTTTGTGTCCTCAGTTCTTTACTCTGTTCTGCAAACCTAGATCTCATTGTCCCCTCCAAATCAGATATAGCCAACTAGTGATCTACCAGATAATTAGAATTAATTGACACCCACTCAAGATTTATTTATTATTACCTTTCATTATTCCCACCTCATGCTCTGGGTGTCGAAAAGTCTGTGTAATTAGATAAAAGCCTTGAAGTATATTGGTTTTGTTTCATGGGTCTTGTTCTAGTTTAATTTTTATTTTGTGAATTTTCCTTCTGTGTTTTTTTTCTTCTACTTGCAGATAAGATTCACAGAAAGATTGGTGAAGGTTAGTATTCTTGTTTCTTTTGAAAGAAATTCTACTAGCTTTTAGAACTGATACCGTTATCTTCTAATGTCTTTCTATCTACACTTAGTATCTTTTTTCCTCTTAGAGTGCATTCTGAATCCTTTTGATTTCACAGGAACTTTTGGTCAGGTTTTGGAATGCTGGGATAGGGAAACAAGAGAGATGGTTGCTGTAAAAGTTGTGCGAAGTACAAAGAAATATCGTGAAGCAGCCATGTTAGAAGTTGATGTGCTCCAATTGCTTGGAAAATATGATAGAAATGGCAGTCGGTGAGTGTAATTTGTCTTTCAATTTTCTAATCTGCCTACTTTGATGTAACTTCTGTCAGTAGTTAAGTGGATGTGTTCTTTGCAGCTGTGTTCAAATACGAAACTGGCTTGATTATCGTAACCATATCTGTATTGTAAGTATCACTTGATATAGTTGCAATTGTTTTATTTTTTCCTTGTTCACAAGTATTCTAGAGCTTACTTGGTGGTGAATTGGAATGGTTCTAACAGGTATTTGAGATGCTTGGACCAAGCTTATATGATTTTCTTAGGAAAAATAACTATTGCCCATTCCCAGTCAATCTTGTTCGCGAGCTTGGCAGACAGCTCTTGGAATGTGTAGCATGTGTGTAGCTGTTGCTTCTGCCATTTCTCTTACCTTTTTAAACTCTCTGTTTTTTTTTGTTTTTTTTTAGTTGCATTGACCTCATTTGTTATACTGCTCAAGGAACTAAGTCACTTTTCTATTATTTGTTTAATAGAAGCTCCCCCTTTCTTTATTTTCTTGCATGTGGACATTTATGTATCTTACAAGTAAGCTGACATTGATGTTGAGCTGGATTAATAAGATAGTTGCTTTGCTTGCTTATGAAATTTTGCAGTCATGCATGATATGCGCCTCATCCACACTGACTTGAAGCCAGAAAACATACTTTTTGTTTCTTCAGAATATATAAAAATACCAGATTACAAGGTATTTATTTCTTTTGGTATGTTTTGCTGTGCTAGCAATTGAAATCTTCTTTTAACGTTTATCCTTTCCCTTTATCTTTTGTCAAGATTTTTTGCACTTAGCTATTTTGCTTGTTGTATAAATGATCTTCTGTTTTTAACTTGTCATTAACTTGATCATTTCTTCCACTGCAGTCACACACTGAGGGGACCTTTTACAAGAGGTTGCCAAAGTCAAGTGCTATTAAGGTTATTGATTTTGGCAGCACAGCTTATGGCCATCAAGATCACAAGTACATTGTCTCTACCCGGCATTATCGTGCACCGGAGGTTATTCTTGGTATGATATTGTTTAGTCCTCTGAGTGGATCTTGTCATTATACATGTTGAGATTAATGAGTGAGTGAATTGCACTTTTTAGGACTTGGATGGAGTTATCCATGCGACATATGGAGTGTTGGTTGTATATTGGTTGAACTTTGCTCGGTACGTTATGTCCTAGAGGTCGGGAGGGATATTTAATTCCTGAAAACTTAATGTGAATGCCCATGTATAATTGTTTGCAGGGAGAAGCATTGTTTCAGACACACGAGAACTTGGAGCACTTAGCCATGATGGAAAGAGTTTTAGGCCCATTACCTCAGCACATGCTAAAAAGAGTAGAGTGTGTGCTCTTCTGAGACTTCTTTTAGTAATAGCCTTTAAATAATGTGAAGAACTTCAGCATACATCAATATTTTACTTATTTTATTTTGGTGGGTTGGGGGTGGTTGGTTCAGCCTACATGCTGAGAAGTACATTAGAAGGGGTAGGTTGGACTGGCCAGGTGGTGCAACTTCTCGGGAAAGCATTAAAGCTGCTATGAAGCTACCTCGCCTTCAGGTGTGGATGCATTACTTTGTTACCTTGGGTTATATTTGCTTCATTCATAAGGAACATGTTCCAGAAATTTGTGCTATGTGCAAACCTATGAATCTTCTCTGAACTCATTTTTGTGCTACATAAATAATATTGTTTCCATGGCAGAACTTAGTAATGCAGCACGTTGATCACTCTGCTGGAGATATCATTGATCTCTTGCAAGGCCTCCTTAGATATGACCCTGCGAATAGACTAACAGCTCATGAAGCCCTCAGGCACCCTTTCTTCACAAGGTACAGAAGATTTTGAGTGGAGAGTTCAATAATACTCTCTTATGTTGATATTGGAAATGGTTTATTAAGTGAAAGGTTGGAGCTGGCTGATGTGGGTTCCTGGATTGCTTTCAATTACCATGTTACTGTATTTCTTGACTTTGTGAGAGTGGGTGGCGTAGCCTGGATTCCTGAGCTGCTTGTGCAATTTTCCTTAAAAATTGAGCATTTGTACATAGCCAACCTGTAATCAGGAGAGGCATTCTCCAAGTCCCAAGTTTTGACCTCGGAGTAGTTTTGTAGCTGTTTTTTCTTCTTTTTTTCAAAGACTGATTTGCCTTGACAAGTACCTCAGTGTTGTAATTTATTTTTTGTCCACCTTGGTGTTGTGCAAGGGAGGGATATTATCACAGAAATTGTTGAAAAAAGGCTTTTTTCATTGCAAATGTGTGGTAATTTCCAGTGAGTGGTTCTGAATCAGTAAAAGACCATGTTACACCCCTTTCCATCTTGCACCGTCTATCTACTCCGAAGGTATTGCTGCGCTTTGCTGTAATAATTAGATGCATGGGCATGCATGCGAGCAAGGAAAGAACTACAATCGAAAAGGACACTAAGCGATTGTAATCCTGAAAGTTCTTGAAAATTAGAAAAGAGTAGAAAACAATAGCAAGGAAAAATCATTTCAATTCTGATACTCTTTCAACAATGTGCAAAACCCATCAATGTTTGCCAGTCGGAAAACAATAGCATGTATTGGCAAGTTACAGAATGTTTCTCATCGTTTTGTTCTGCACTTGGTAGCTCGAAGGACTCCACTGGGAGGAGCTGTCACCAGGATAGTGCAGTGACCATACAGCCTATACGAGTACTTTAGTAAAGTCCCCAGTTTAGATCGCACCCGGAACACTCCTTTCACGTCAAATATGGCTCCATTTTTACTAATCTGCTCCTGGAGGCGTGCGCTTTCCAGGACGGGAAGCCGAACCTGACTTGTAACCATATGAACATTTACGAACCTCGACTCAGCCCTCTCTGCCGAAAACGGTTCTATATATTGGGTGGCGATAAGAGTGCTTCCGTAGTGTAGATCAATGATCATGTAACTGAAGTCCACGCTCACTTTCTTGTTTGGATTGGTGAAGTTTGCTAGAACATTTAGATCAGCATTGAGTAGAGAGCCTGCATCGATGTAGGCCATGTTTAAGGAGGCACTGGACACATCAAACCGTGGACTACGTGGGCGATATACCAGGTAGACTACAAGGACAATTAGGCCTCCTAGGAATATTACGATCCAAAGAATTGCGCAGAAAACTGCACCTAGCCATATTAAGGGTTTGGTTCCACCAGGTTTTGGCAACCCAGAAAACTGTGCTGGTCGGCCTACTATACCGGTGGACTGCTGGGGGTTTCGTTCTTGAGGCTGTGGAAATGTCACCCTAGGACCACGGTCTTGATCTTGATTCCTCGGTGGTACATGAGGTTCACTATCATGTTTGGGGCCAGGTGGCTGGGGGTGAGGGTCACCGTGCTGTGGAAATGCCCACGGGCTCTCGAATCTCCCTTGTTGCAATGGAATATATGGGGGGCGTTGATACTGTGGTGGCCGCGTTGGTGGACTTTGGACTTCGTTGCCATGAAGTGGAAAGTGTGATTCGGGATGTTGACCCGGATGCTGCTTTGCTGGTGGGATCCATGGACTGCGGAATTGGCCTTCATGCTCTGGTTTAACCACCGATGCACCCTTCTTCTTGGAACCTCGGCCTTTACTCCTTGATCGAGTCACCTGTGGGCCCTCAGGTGGCTGGTTTTGTTGATCTTGACGACCTGACGACGGCCCCCCGGGACTAGGTGGTGTCTGGGAGGGTTGGCCTTCACGCTGTTGCAGCGGTGTATTAATAAAATGAGGGTTTGTTTCTGGATGCCAAGACATGGTAGCATGGAGATGTTGAGAAATGAAGGATTGCAGAAGGAGAATAAGAAGAGAGTTGTTGCTGGACCTATGAAAAAGAGGATGACTTCACGAGAACTTAAAGTAAGATTCATGTCCAGGCAAAGAATCAAACATAAGCTAATCGCCGGAGGCAAGTAATCCTTAAGTGGTTCCTTTTTTCTTTAAGGTTGCATCTGTCTTAAGATATATAATCTGTAGGCCATGGTCCCTGGATACAGGAGTGGCTGCTTCCTAATTACACCGCACCTCAACGGCAGAACCACCCTCCCCTCCCCCATTCCAATTTTAATTTTGATAATGTATTTGACATGAAGAATTTTTTTATTTGGAAATATATTAAAATAATTTATTTTACATGAAGAATTTTTATTTGAAAATATATTAAAATAATATTTTTTAATTTTAAAAAATTATTTTTAATATTATTATATTATAATAATTTAAAATCATTAAAAAAATTAATTTAAAGCAAAAATAGTTTTAAAACACAAAAACAAATAGATATTAATTTTATTTTTTTAACTGTCAGTGTTATGTGTGTTTGGAGTTACTGCATGCCTGTCAATAGATATATATTCTATAAAAATATGGAGTTACTGCATGCGTGTCAATAGATATATATTCTATAAAAATATTAAATTCAATTATACAAAAATGAAAAAAATATATCATGCAAGAAAGAAATTTAAATATAACCAAGTACGTAACACAAACTTATATGTTATAAATATAAATTTTAACATGATTATATTAGCATTATAGATTTTATAAATCCCTTTTGATATTTAAAATAAAATTTAATAGTTACTAATAAACTTCTTAAAAATATTGTTATCAAATCAAATATTTTAATACAGTTATGAATTGCGTGTGCACTTTTGAAAGAAGCAAACACGGCCCTATCCATAACGGGGACACCTTCTCAGATTCTCCTTTATTTATTTATTTGGTCCTTTTCAGTTAACAACTAGGGTTACGAGAATAAAGGCAAAGAGAGGTGGCCTGGAATCTGTAAACCATGCATGAAATTGTCTCGGAAATGGCTGAGATTCCGGACGTTAACACTATCTTCTGCTCCAGAAGAACAGTTTGCTCACAATACAATATTGGAATTCCCAATCTTGTATTTCTCTTCCCACTGGAGCAATGATAAATGATTAGAAGCAATCTACTGCAGAATGGCCAGCAAATTGGAGAAAAGGATGGCCTTTGTACATCCAGGGAAATTGTAGGTGCCATAGCTGTTCTTATAGTAAGCGATAAAACTCGCAGTAAAATTTAAATCATACAAGAGAGGATAATAAATATCATAACACTGTAAAGCTCTATTTCTGACCTGAAGCGGCCAGCAACAGGAGTAATCCAGGGTGCTTCAAAGGCACACCAGGTTTGAAAAAATGCTGGGTGCCATATGAGAAGCCCCACTTCATAAGCAGTCAGTTCTCAAGTTTAATGTCATCATTGTTGGAGGCCCTTTTACTGGAGTCACAGTTTCAGCCCTGAGCTTTCCTCAGAATGTAGGCGTTTTATTAAATACAGATATCGGCAAAAGGGGCAGCCAACAACTATTTGGACAACACGAGAAAACCTCAGCTCCATTCCCTTTTATTAGCTCATCTCCTGCAAGATCCAGAGAAAATAGTAGCAAGATTTAGCATCAGTCATCTCACATATGATATCTGACTTCAGTTTTGTTTTGATTTTAACATGATATGACTTAGAATGGATTGCCAGGATGTCACGAAGTAAACCGAAGAGAAGCCAGGCCCAGAACAAAACAACATATGTTCGGTTTTTTTTTTTTTTCAAATATCTTCTCTTTTTTTTTTTCTTTTTTTTTCAAGTCGAAATTTAGATTTCTATTAATTTTCAAAAAGAGAAGGGACGGCTTAAAAGGCATGCGAATGGTTTGTATAGTAAGTGAATTTATTTTTTATATCAACATTCTGTATTCAAGTCTAAATATTAATGCACCCGTTGAAGAGGATATTAAAAATCCTCTCAATCATTCTCTTAAATTGAAAAACCAAACAATTGTTAATTTAAAAAAAAAACCAGAAAACTTGTTATATATTTACTTTTTATTTTTATAATTTATTTTTAATATCACCATATCAAAACAATTAAAAGCATCAAAAAAATTAATGTAAAATCAAAAAAAATCAAAAACACTTTTATACCAAAAAAAAAGATAATATTTGAGATTATAAAAGTAGATGGTTTTCAAAATATTTTTTGTTTGGAAACATATATAAAAAAATTAAAATAATATTTTTTATTTTTTTAAATTTATTTTTAACATTAAAATATCCAAATAATCTAAAACTATAAAAAAATTAATTCTAAATCAAAAAAAATTAAAAACAAATAAAAAGCATAAAAACCGCTCTCCATGTTGATTTTCATTAGGGGTATTCATGGTCTGGTTCGGTCTGGTTTTAACACAAAAATTCAACCAAACCGAAAAATATTATTCCTTGTTAATATAACCCGAACCGAACCGAGAACCAGTTCAAACCGAACTGGTTTTGTTCGGTTCGGGTCGGGTTTTTAGCCTTAAAAAACAGAAAAACCGAAACCAATTAAATAAAAGAAAACTTGGCCGAATCACAATCATTAGACAAACTTGGCCGAATAACATTCAGAAAAATCCTTGTTAAAAACTTTGCATCCGAGCCTTTTGGTTGAGATCTGAAAGATCTTCCTTAACCGAAACACAATCATTGAATCTATCAAAGTTAGCACAGTTACATGTTAACAAAGATTCCAATAGCATCCCACAAACTACTTGACCTCAATAGCACAACTGCATATTATAAAACCAGAAACAAAGATTTTATATAAATTTTCTGCCATCAAATAAAACAAAGAATAGAAAGACAACAATATGAGAGAAAAGAAAACAGAAAAGAGAAAAGGAGAGAGGGAGGGAAAGGGAAAGGAAAAGGGAGGGGAAGGGAGAGAAGGATGGGTGGGGTGGTTAGAAAAAAAAAAGGAGACGGCTGGAAAAGTAAGAGGCTAAAAATATAGGGTTAGGATATTTATTATTTAGATTTAGGAGGTTTTTTTTTTTTTTTTTTAATTAAACCAGTTTAATTTGATTTAATTCAATCAGTTTAAATTTTTTTAAAATTGAAATTGAATCGGACCAAGTAGTTTTTTTATTTTTTAATTAATTTATTCAATTTTTTCTATTAAATCAATTTTTTCAGTTATTTTTTTTTCAGTTTAATTAATTAATCAGTTTTTTTTATCACCCCTAAATTTCACACCTTCCTCTAAGAAAGAGACATGAAGTTCGGAGAAAAAGACACCTGTACCCACCTCCACCAGTCAGACTCTCTTTAGACCCCCTTCAGTCGATCCAGGTCAATGAATACAAACCTTTAAAAGGAGTACCCATCTCCTTTGTTCATCACTGAAGTGCTTACTCTAAAATTGCGATATGATCTTCCTTTTTTTTCTAATTCAACAAAAAGACGCATTCCTATACGGAGAAAGCTGTGATTGAATGAAGATCTCAAAGCAGCGTAAAGGAGAAAATTGACAGAAAGGATTTCCACTCGGCCACTGCAGTTGAAGGTAAGAGACGACACTATACAAAAAAGTTGAGCCATAAATATACCTTGCATGTTTCCATTACATGTACCTTAAGCAAAATTTAGCATCATCAGTGAAATGCTCACCCACCTTGTGGTTGCAAAATTATGTGCATAGCAAATGCACAGCCACGCTACTTGATTCATTCATTCTGTGCTCGTCATAATTCATTTTGTGCCCTTAATAAAGCAACTGTTGGACCCAATGCGCTGCCTCTCAAGGCCTTATAGGACCATGGGCTCCTGCCTGAACTCTCAGGTTTTTTACAGCTATCTTCCTGAGATAGCCATGCCTTCTGTGCTGTCAAAGCCTGCTTAGTTTCTTCCCATGGATTATGTCTTCCGTTTTCTGAAGTACAAGAAAGGTAAGTAAGCATGTTTACATTGATCGTATTATTGTTATCATTGCTCTTTGCACCCATCATTAACCCCGCTCCTGATGTAAAAATAGTTGGAAGTAATACCTTGAGCAGAAGTACCAGATTCGTGGTTGTTGTTCAGCTTGAAACCAGTTCCAGAATCTTGATCCCTTACATGGACTTCATTAGATCCACCAGTAACTGATTTTGCTGACTTTAGATTGCCATGGTGAACAAGGCGAACTTCAAAAAGTGCTGAAAACTTTATCTGGAGAAGAGCTTCACTTGTCAGCTATCTTGATTGAGAAGGACAAACAAGAACAGTTTGGCCTAAGGTTACTAAATCTATCATTTAGGCAACTGCAAACTAGACCACAGCCCAAGACTTGATCTAATAGGCTGAACGCTGTGGATCAGTAAAATAACATAAAATTTCCAAGAACTAATCGAATCCCATTTGTCAAACACTTCAAAACTGAAGAACTCCACCTTAATCAATTTAGTCAGATCCCTCAAGTTTTTGGAAGCACATTCAAATTCTGTGTTCACTAAACATAGAAACACACACCAAGACACCCGCCTAAAAGAAAACATACATATATAAGAAATGCAATGCAGGGCTGACATACCTCTAAGGAACCATCTTCCTGATAAGGGGATGTTTCTGGTAGTGCATCAGATGCCTCATCATCTATCTTCTCAGGAATTACTGGATATTCTGGTACTTGGACCAGCATAACTATATTGGATTCAAGATCATATTTTGATACCTTTCCAACCTATGGACAGAGAGAATATGATGAATAGTATGCTCTGCCATAAATAATGAGTTGAAGATCAGTTTTATTACACAAGAAGCCCTACACGGTATGATGAGAGCTCAGGGGTCCAGGATGATGACAGCTCAACCAAACGATAAGCAATTACATCACCTTCCTGCAAAAATCCAAGAATAACTAGATGCTTTGGCCTCCATACGAGAAACAAATTTGGACTTTGCTCTTTGCAAATTAGGAAACTTTCAAGACAAATACAAGTTTGAGAGATCAATTAACAGATCCCAAGTAGGTCTTAAAAGTAAACTAGCAGTCACTATCACCATATAAAGCCCAGTTGCCACTGTTTATTTTCTACAATAGAAAGATATAGATATCAATGCAATGAATGGCAAATGAAGTTTTAACAAAAACAAACCTTTGGCAAGCTAGCATAGAATGGAAACTCTTCAAAGTTGGTGCAATCATATACAGGTGTGCGTTCTTCAATAGTAAGACTGCTGTAAGACTCTTTCTTGAAATTGACATAATCATTCCTTTTACATGACACCACTTTCTCTTTACCCCACTTTTGGCCCTTCTTTTTGCTTGTTATTCCATTCCACTGAAATCTTTCCTGAAGCAGGACACAAAAACAGAAATTCAACATCGATCGAAGCTAAGAAAAAGTGATGCCATGACAACATACAAGTGTAGCACACACAAAGCATTTTTTTACAAGGAGCAAACACAAAGATATTGTAAGAATTTGAAACTACAAATATCAGAACCTGTTGACTATTTTATAAAAACAACTATACATCAAAATCCTATTTCACTGCAGTTCCCAAAAATTACAGCAAACCATTTGTGCAGAACATTTTAGCACTCCCCCGGATACACCCTCATAAAGTCTGGTATAATTGTAGGGCATGTGGAAGAGAAACAAGATTATAGAGATGTTGAGCACAAACATCTTAGGACTTACAAAAGTAAAAATATGCGGGAGTGCTAAAATGTTCTGCAGAAATGGTTGTAATTTTTACTTACAAAACTTAAATGGATAAAAGAAATGCATGCTAGAATATATCTCATCAAGGTATTTAGCATTCAAAACATGAGTCTAGAGACAGATAGGCAGTAAAAAATTAAATGGATAAATGAAACATACAATAGAAACATGATTTTGCGGAACAGCATGATCAGAATCCCCTGGAACAACAAGCAAGTAGGTGTGTCACATGACTGAATGGTGTATTTACAGTACACAAAATTGTTAATCACTTGGAACAGCCTTGTGATAAAATATAGAACTCTTCAGCCACAAAGAAAGAAGAAAAGACACACCAAGCATTAGACCTTTCTTGAGCGGCTCAAAACAAAGATGTCCCGGCCTGATCACTACAGGAACAACATCACCCTCTACATCACTATCTCGCTCTCCCAATTGGTTGTCTTCCCTGAGTTTTTCTTCAGAGGTTTTCTGACTTCCTGGTTCAGGTGATTCTCCAGAAAATTTCTGGTTATCCTTTTCAGATGATTGCTGATTGATATTCAAAAGCAACTCCCTCTTATTTTGCTGTAAAATTCAACATAAAGCAAAGCAGTGTAGCTAAGAATTAATTTTCCCGCCAACAGCACCCAGGCACGTGTGTGTGTGTGTGTGTGTATTGTGCAAGTGTGTGCGCTTAACCTAAAACCTGCTCCAAAGACCGTCCCCAAAAGTAAAACAGCGAAACCTCATGAATACACTTGGAATAACAGGGTTGGAAACTTAAAAAACACCAACGTACTGCTTTCTTTTCAGTTTTGAGATGTTCCTTCAACCATTGCCTCTTGGCCTTTTTACGCCTAGCACTTCTACTGGGGCACTGACAAGAAAGGGAAATGCAAGTGTTAGAATCGTTTCTCGCATAGGGAGGCCAATAGCCTCTGGCTTGAGTCCCTTGGTCCACTGGTCATATTTGCCAGACCCCTAGCCTAAAAGTTCAGATAGCTTTAAATGATAAAAAATAACTTTCAATTATGCAAACGCTCTATTCCCTTTCTTGTCCTTTTCTTTCACAATTAACATTAAAGTTCATGTTAAATTGTCCCTTTGTGTTCTGTAAGGGAATCATAACTATCCATGCATTGGTCCTCTATGGAAAGAAGGGAATGTATAGGAATACATGATATCATTTCTGTACAGTTTTACGAGCACAAGACACATCAAAATTGACTCTGACAATTTAGCTGCACTAGCTCCTTCATAAATACATACAAAATCATGGTTGTTTTCCATCAGAAAGAGAGCTGAGCTTACACACACAAACATTCACAGAACATGTTTAATACTATGCAATGGGTGGGGTTTAGCCAAGTTTTAATAACATGTTATAGGAACAAAAATGACTCAGCCTTAACATTATTCAAATTTAATTTGATACCAGTAGACTTTCTTGCAGAATGAAAAGGTGCAGGTGGCAGGAATCATGACATCATGCTGAGTTTCACCCAATTCCTCGATGAAAGACTATAGCACATCTCAAAATTAAAAACACAAATGTTAGCCATATGTTCAGTAAAATGATAGATCAAAACCTTTTTAGATCCAGAAAGTATATGTGATGCATCCACACTCCCATTTCCATTTTGTTCAGGCTGGCAAGACCTTCAATGCAGAAGGGTAAAGAGATATTTAGTTAGCCAAGTAAAAATGAGGAAAAGAATCGAAGACATCATGAGCTATAAAGATGCCTCCCCTCATGAACAAGCAATATTTTTGCAGTCATGTTATACAGGAGGGACCAATCATCATAACATGTTTTCACATTTCTAGAAAAGTGGATCATAAATATCAAAATATGAGTAGAACTTCAATTGAAAGTTCTAGTATAGGACCTAGACAAGACTTGGAAATCTTCTTTATCTCTAAATAGCATGTTCCTTGCGTTGGAAATAGCTCCTTGTTAACTTCATTGAGGTACATCCCACTCACCGAACAATGACACACAGACAACCATGGAAAGTTGTGGTCAAGATTGGCAATGAAATGACAGAATGCCTTAAAAGCCTTGGAACTTGTCCAGTGAAGTTGATTTGGAATTGCTGATCCAAAACTTAATAGCAACTTTTTTTTTTGGAAAAGGGACACTTCTAGCAAATGTCACTTATGCCTCCCTTATTGCATTAGGCTTCTATTTAAGCAATCCTCCAATGCTGTATACGATCCTAGACCCATCAAATGATGTTCTGGGATAGGTCATACCCATTCCCATTCCAAGTGATCATAATAATTGGAATTCTAGGTAACATGAACATGAAGTAACACATAGCTCAAATCTTACCAGTGCCACCAACAATGAATGATGATGAAGAATATCTCATAGGTTTTTTTATATATAAATAGGAAAATCTTATAATTAGAGACCTACTGAGGAAGAAAAACGTGGTTATGTGTGTATAAGGATCTTACAAAACTTACTTCTGTGCATTAAAAGTAGCTTCTGTACTCTTGCTACTTCTTTCATCTGCTTTAAAAAAGCTCAAAGTGCCATTCTGCCCTGCGCAGACACTTGTCACAACATTTTCTGAAACTTCCATACATTTTTCAGCACTAGCAGATTTAGTTTTCTTCCTCCTGCAGTGTAGAAGTTCCAGAATTGAGTGCAAACCCAAAAGTTCTAAGAGAAATTGTAAGAATTTTACAGTTAAAAAGGTGCACTAATAAGCACTAAGAAATTTACAAAGCTTACTTCTTAGTGTCACGCATAGCTTTCCCACTCTTGCCACTTCTTTCATCAACATCAACAATGCTCAAAGTGCCATTCTGCTTTGCAGAGAAATCAGTCACTACATTTTCTGAAACCTCTAGGCATTTTTTAGCACTAGCAGATTTGGTTTTCTTCCTCCTGCAGTGTAGAAATCCCATTATATAATGATTTTACAAGAAATCATTCTAAACCAGCTACTTCATCTTTGAACTTGTTGAACACAATGAAATTACTAGCTGGAGTCTCTACACTACAGATACGCTACAAATAGCGCAAGACATGTGCCTGTGTAACATAAGATACATATTAAAAAATTCTTATTTTTCAACCCATTTTGAGAAGTAGCACAGAAACCATACTTTGGGCTGTGAGCATCCTTTGATGCCTTTCTCTTCTTCGAAACTGCTTTCACTTCTGGACTAATTTCGATATCCTCCACCTCTGCAGCAACATCCACCTCTTGTTCATTTTCATAGCTGTCAGATTCCTTTTCAAATTCCTCATTCGCAAGCAGATTCGTGCCTGTGGTTACCGGTGGCTTGTCAATTATTTCCACCACGTTCAACGAATCATTCAGCCAATCATCTATCTTGATAATTTCAGTAGCCGTGCCACCCTTCTTTATCACTCTGTTACAGATATTACATTATAATATAAATAGCAATAAGTGTTATTTTCCACAGAATATATAAACTAACCTGGCAACATATAAAATTTAACTAACCTGACAATATCTTTATCCTTCAAAATACAAGTGGACTCAAAAGGCGGTAATACAAACCCTTCCATCTGTAACCGTAAAATAAAATCAGAAGGAAGAAAGGGAATTTTAAGGACTGCTAAAAAAAATTGCAATTTATTAAAGAGAAATTAAATACTTACAGAGAGGAGTAGGCCGCTGGGGCATGCATTGTGGAGGTCGAACACCTGGAGGATATGGGAGGAGAGATCGGAGATGGTTTTGTGTTGGGGTTTTAATAGAATCCAGCACTTTCTGAGTCCTTCCGTCGTCGTAGTCAAAGCGTTGTCGATCACTAAGCGGAGCCTGACCGTCTCCATTGCCCAGCGATTGAAGAGAGAGAGGGGCGGAGGCAGAGAGGGAAAATTTCAAGCAGGAAT